AACATAAATACCATTACCTTCTTTTAGGAGCAGAAGAATCGTCCTCTGGACAAGTTGTTGAATTATTTTCATCCCTCATTCGGCTACAATCACCATCCTCCTGAATGGAGTGGACATCCTTCTCTGACACAGAATATGTGGGTTTTTCTCCTTCAGGTTCTTCTATATGATTGAGAATCAAGATGCCCACAACATCCAAGGTAGGAGGAACATTTGAAGGAAGTAAAAAGACTCTATCACCACTTTCCGTTAGATTTAAGGATAGGAACAGCTTCTTTAAGTGCTTAATCAAAGATCTCTCAGATATGCCCTTTATGTCAACAGCTTGCCCATCATCAATCATTTGCAGAAGCTATGCAAGAAACAAATATCACAAGAAAGAGAAAAAATAAGTATTCCGAGTTCGAAGAACAAAATCCAAGATAGCATGCATAGAAACAAAACCAAAAAAACAAATTTACTAAAAGCAACAAATTTGAATCAAACAAAAATACTGCTTGTTTCTTTCATACAAATAAATATCTGTATCTTCCAATCAACTCTTTCACTTCCAGCTCAAATCAATTCATACCCACACCACCCACTAAATACCATTAACAATTAAAGGCAAACAGCAAAGTAACCAGCAAACTTCCTTCACTAAAGAGTTAAACAGAGCCCGTTGGCAGAGAAATTTCACAATTCAAACTATGCTTTTTCAGCACAAATCTACGATTTTTTAGTCAAAATAGTCTCAAAAAGATCAGCATGTAAAGAAGCAGCCCACTAATAGAAATGCGCTAAATATCAAGCATTCATCTTCCACTCAAAAAATAAATAAATAAGCTAGCATGAACCTCCCTGAAATTTCAAATATCAAATTCAACAAACGGATAGAACACAATGAAATTCCTTCAAAATATCCCAACAGCAGCTCCAAGCTCCACCTACCCTGTCTGTGCCAAAAAACCCATATATCAACAAAAATAAAGTTCACAAATGCCTTTCTTTCTTTCAATCTCTACATCTTTTTTTTTTCTTTTAATTCTTTTTCTCCATCTTTTCATTTCCTCCTTTTCCCCATTTTTCCTATTGAACTGCCATTACCAGTTACAAACCACTAACAAACCACAAAAACCAAGATTACAAGTGAAACCCACCAAATACAGAGGAAAGTAGGTTCCGTTGGCAGCAAAAACTAAGCATTTTCAACTATTTCTGAAACATGAATAAAAATTTTCAAAAATTTTGCAATCACTAGACAATCAGTCACCAATTACCTGCCTCAAATCACCGCCAACATTAGGAAATTCCTTCAACATGTCTCTCATCACCGCTTCTGGCGCTACCCGCTCTCTGTCCCTCTCGGAATCAGATCCTGACCTAGACTCAGAACCTGAATCGGATTCAGTTTCAGACTCATAGCTCCTCTTCCTCTTCTTTCTCTCATCTCTCCTCGATTTCCTTCTCTTTCTCTCCCTTTCTCGTTCCTTCCTCTTTCTTTTCTCTCTCTTCCTTTCTTTCTCCCTCCTTGAACTCCCATCGCTTCTGTTCCGGTCTTTACGGTGGCGGCGTCGCCTCTTCGATGATGATTCCGAGTCCTCGGAGCTAGAAGGAGAGGAGGATGTTGGTGTTTCGTCCGAGAGTTTCTTCTTCGTTTTACTTCCCATTTCTGCCAGCTCCTGAAGTTGGCGCTCGCAAGATGCAAAGATCAGGAAATTTTCCGCGAAGGTCTAAAAAACTAAAAATTTCCGCCATGGAAGGCCTGATATACACTCCCTATATACTTTTCTATTGCTACTGGGCCAACATTGGCCCAATAATTCCTTCTGGATTTGGACAATCTGCACAAAAAGCAAGGGGTCTTTTGTCATTTTCTGCTTTCTAAATTTTATTTATGTGGATTGAAATTAAACCCATTTCTATTTATATTTAATTTATATTGAATGAACTAAATAATTAGCGGTTTAGCATAAAAAGCCCAACCAACCTCATTCCTGGATTATCCCATAAAAAATATATATTATGCCATTTGCAGTATATTAGCTACTATATATGTAAGTTTCAAAAAATCAAATTATTAAAAAAAAAAAAAAGTTTTACCTGACTTTCGAGTCTAATGATATTAATAACATTAAATAGGTGCATCCCTCCCCCTTAGCATGTCAAATTGTTTAAAAAAAAAAGTTTCAAACGGTAATTATTACACTAAACGGTCTAAAAATTTTTAGGGATTGACGTATAAAAAAGTAACATATAATCAAATTTTGATATTAAAAATAAAAATTATTGTATATTTTTATTATTA